CTTGGAGATACAACGACTGCACATGAAAATACATGTATATAAAAAAAGTCTGCTCAAAACGTCACAGTTCTTTAGAAACTTTTCAGGTACAGTAGTTGTATCTCCTATAAAGATTGCCGCCTATACCCACTGTACAGTATACACTGCCACTGTTTGATACTTCCCAGGGAACCTTTCTCAATTGGCCTGTACCCTTGATTTCTTACAACAGGTATATTGGTGCAAATACGGAGTGCTCAACTGCCTATTAAAGATGTAACAAACAAATTCCAGATTTCCTGCACAATCGCCCGAATTACCTTCTAGAACATTGCATGAAGAGACTTGTATATGCAGCAGAAGCTAAAATAACAGCTGTGAATAAAACAAGTGGTATTTTTACGGTCAGGAGTGAGAGTAGTGAAGGTGCTTATAATGTGTTTTCTTCATCCCCTGGAGATGAAAGCATTCCTAGTTGCGAGTGCTTGGATTGGCAAAGGAACTATCTCCCTTGCAAACATATGTTAGCTGTCATCATGAGTGCTGACGGATGGAGTTGGGAAGATCTTCCAGTGGAATATCAAGAATCTCCATACTTGACCTTGGACAAAGAAGTTCTTTTTCAAAATGTTAATGACATGGAACTGCCCACACTTGTCCAAGATCAGGAGTTATATAACTCTTGCAACATGCCACCTCGACCCAACACAGGTGTGGAAGGCGCACATAACAGTTGTAGCATGACTGAGACTCCTTGTTCCAACAAAGATTCTATGAGTGCACCTACAAGTACATCTGAAATACCAAAAAAATATAGATCCCAAACGAACACTTGTGACCAGATGTTGTGATTTACTTGCAAAAATTAAGAATTTAGTTCATGAAACCACTAGTGCAACCGGATTGAGTAAACTAGAACAAACACTACAATCAGCCTTTTGTGACCTAGAAGCTGAAAGCGAGAACGTTTCTGGAATTATATTGTCCTCTGGTATAACAGTAAAAACAAGTACAAAGAGGAAAAACAAATAAAAACACTGATACTGCACAAAAGAAAGCAAAACTGAGCTTGGAACATAAACTCCCTTTAAATAAAGTGAAAAAGAAGCACCCCTACAACAGCAGGGTTGGTGCAAAGGCTCAAATGATGAAAAATTGTTTCAAAACACCCATGTCAGAGGAGATGAGGAGGTTTCCATCTGCAGGTCACTCCAGTAGCGCTGCTAACAGTAACAAAGATGAAGATACAGAAAACACAAAGCTGACTTCCTTTGCCAATTTTACGCCCACCATAAAGAAAGGCAAACTGAAAGAAACGTTGTTGAAAAATGGCCCGCATGGTGTGTCACTGTTGCAGCTCAAATCATTGGAGCCACATTTGCCAAGAGGAACAGAGATTATGCAGAAAGGTGTGTGCAAAGATTTTAAACAAGGCTGGCTCTTAGATGAAGTTGTAAATTCGTTTTTTTGGTGCCTGCAAGAGTCTAATTCACACATCCTTTATGTGCCATCAACTTCCATGCTTGTTCTGCAGAAGAATGCTCCATGTGGAAGACTGTGGAAGGATGAGGACATAACCTTGAAAAAAATCATTGTTGGCCCCTGGAACCCTACAAAACTACCACTGGACTCTAGTCGCTGTCGATTTACAACTAAGGAAGGTTATATATCTTGACCCATTACAAAATGTAAATGTCGACAACAGATTTGTCCAGTTACTTTCAGTGTTCATGCCCCAGATTTTGGAAGCTAAGTTTGGTTTATCTGGTTTTGCTATCGAGTTGCCACCACACACCTTGCAAACAGACCTTAAAAGTTGTGGAGTAATTGTTTGCTGGTATGCATTGCAGTTAATCAATGGCAGGCCTTTATGGCGCATTTTCCATGTCAAAAATAACATTGTGTGTGCAGATTACTTTATGGCATTTGGAGATGTCATTATGTAATTTCAGCATTGCTTTATGGCATTTGAAGATGTCATTATGTAATTTCAAACCTTACATCTAACGATCACTTGCACACAACGATCACCTGCACACATAACGAACACTTGCACACATAACGAACACTTGCACACATAACGAACACTTGCACACATAACCAACACTTGCACACATAACGAACACTTGCACACATAATGAACACTTGCACACATAATGAACACTTGCACACATAATGAACACTTGCACACATAATGAACACTTGCACACATAATGAACACTTGCACACATAATGAACACTTGCACACATAATGAACACTTGCACACATAATGAACACTTGCACACATAATGAACACTTGCACACATAATGAACACTTGCACACATAATGAACACTTGCACACATAATGAACACTTGCACACATAATGAACACTTGCACACATAATGATCACTTGCACACATAATGAACACTTGCACACATAACGAACACTTGCACACATAATGAACACTTGCACACATAATGAACACTTGCACACATAATGATCACTTGCACACATAATGAACACTTGCACACATAATGAACACTTGCACACATAATGAACACTTGCACACATAATGAACACTTGCACACATAATGAACACTTGCACACATAATGAACACTTGCACAACAGATGAGCAGAGCGAGTTTTTAGACGAGAAATCCCAGATGAAAACATCTTGCAGTACTATTCCGACAGCGATTTGCGAGCACAGTATCGTTTCGGTAGAGAAGCAATTTTGAACATCGTCCGCCTTATTGAAGAGGAAATACGTCCTGCAACAAACCGAAGCTTTCCAATTTCGGCAACAAATCAAGTGTTGATAACATTAAGATTTTTGGCAACAGGCAGTTTCTTGCAAGTTACAGGAGACACGATAGCTGGGGCAGATAAGTCTACCGTTAGTCGTATTGTTCGTCGAGTAACTTTGGCAATCGCTCGTAAACTTGATGATTTCGTAAAATTCCCGGGAACACAACACGAGAAAGCCCTCATCAAACAAGGATTTTACGACCTTGGAGGTTTTCCATGCGTTATCGGATGTGTTGACGGGTCCCATATTAGGATCATAGTTCCATCAGCAAACGAGTGCAATTTCGTCAACAGGAAAGGATATCATAGCATAAACATACAAGGGATCTGTGACCACAAAGGTTTGTTTATATCAAAGCAGGATAATTTAATACTAGTGTGAAACGCACCACATTCGTTCACACTATTCTAGCACAATATTCAGCATCAGCAAAAATTCCTTTGATTTTGTAAAATTTCCTTAAATGTGTCTGGGGAGTGTTCATTATTTATGGTTGGGGGGGGGGATTGAAATCATGGGAGAGGGGGGAGTTTGGCATTTGTTTTTTGGGGGGTCACCAGAGTTTGAGAAGTAATTGGGGGGGGGGCTCATGGAAGCAGAAAGCTTTAGTTCTGTGACAATGTTTTGACCTCCAACATACCCAGTAAATTTTATGCCGAAAATAGGCTTTTACTTGTTTTTACTTTTTAGGCCCTTTTTTGAACCAAAATTTCCAACAATTTTCCAGAAATGTGAGCGGGACAGTTGCCCACCACCCCCACCAAACTTGTTGTAAATATAGGCCTAGAGGCCTGCTAGCTTTTTCTCTCATTGAGCTTTAATTGCATATGGTACTATAGGGAAATTTCTCAATGTTGTCGCAAAATGGCCTGGTGCAACCCATGACAGTCATATCTTCAGAACATCAGCAATGGACCTTTCACCTTTTGACTAAAATTTAGATCTTAACAAGTCTAGACAAAAATTTTATCACAGCTTGAAAGAGCATCACAAAATTAGTAATATTCCAAAGTTTCATTGCGAAATGTTGTAAGATGCGGATAATATAGCCTTGCGAAGTTTGCCATTTTCAGTCATTTTGTATTACGCGCGGGAAATACATACCTCCTTCGGAAAAAGGGTATGTATTTCCCGTTTGTAATACAAAATGACTGAAAATTGCAAACTTCGCAAGGCTATATTATCCGCATTTTACAACATTTCTCAACGAAACTTCGGAATATTACTA